TTGTGTTAGGCTTGTTTAGCGTTTACGAACATATTCGTTTACCATTTACCAGCATGTTCATTTAGTATTCGAGAAAATATTCGTCCGTATTTTCAAAAATGGTGAAATTATGTCAGGCTTCTCATTTTGATTCCAAAGTTTATTTTGTGTTCAATTTAGTCTATATTTTCTTCAAAATTTAAAATGGCAAAAAACAAAAGGAAAATGAGAATCAAATAAATGAGAATATATAAATAACATGGATTATTTATGTAATTATACCATCCAAGTAAGCTTGTTAACAGGCCATGTGTGTTTTCTATCACGCCTGTTAACGGCGAGTGACCAATTTGTAACAAACGATAACGTTAGTGACCGATTTATAACTTTTGAAGCATCAGTGGCGAAAACAAAAACTTACACAAACATTAATGACCATTGGAGTAGTTTACCCTTTTTGTTGTCAATGTTGGCAGTCTTTATACTTGTAAGATTGAATTCATTATGAAAGTACAGTTTTTTGGAAAAAGTAATACAGTTTAGACTCTGACTCAATAATAAAACATAAAAACGTTGGCTAAAATCTCAGAAAAGCTACAGTGAAACCGGTAGAGACCAAAAGGCACACAAACAGTGAAAGACAAACAATGAATCTAAATTCTAAATGATTTTACATTTTATACCAAACAAATTGATCTTGAACTCCACTTTACCTGTGCAAAAGCTTCGGTGATCCATGCAAATTCTAAAGAGAAACAATAGAGTTGTTTGAATTGAGTTACCAAATAAAACCCCTTCTTTTTTATCTCTACCCCTAAAGTTGTGACCTTTAAGCTCTCCGGTCTCCTCTTCTTCTTGGGTAAATTCAAAAGCTTTAACCTCCTCCTTTTTTCCCTTGAGAATCATTTATACTTAGTTTTATTGTTTGCAATTTGATTTACTTGTGTGTATTGCTGCCTTTCAACGATTATTTGGGAACTTATTTTTTTTCCCAAGTTGGAAAATTCCAAACACTCAAGCTATGACCTTTGATTCCTTATTGGTACGGTTCATCATGAGTAACCGTCGCACACCGAAATACATCATTAATCCTATGTCAGTTGAACTAAACAATGTTGATTTTTGAATGCTAGTAAACGATTTGCCAACTGGTTTTATATCAGAATAAATAGCACGACAATTCGGCAACTTCATCGGCCGATTCCTTGACTATGATTCTACAGCAACTTCGTTGGGATATAGGGGCTGCATCAGAATTCGAGTGAGTATTGATGTCCGAAAGCATCTGAAGCGAAAAAAGAAACTCATGTTGCCAAACAAAGCAGAATCCTATGCTACTTTTAAGTATGAAAAATCAAAGTTATTATGTTTCCTCTGTGGAAAACTTGGGCATGGAGAAAATTTTTGCCCAGTATTATTATGGAACGTTTCTCTTCGAGCACCTCCAAGGAAAAGAGGAGTGGTGACCAGCCCTTGGTTAAGGGGAAAAAATACGAGCACTACCAACTTAGGCACCAGTGAATCGATAGCAGATACACAAGTCATGACAACTAAAGCTTGGGTTGAACATGCTTTTGCACTACAAACTTCTGGTTCAGCACAAGGAGTTATCGATGCAACTATAACATCAGTGGAGATAAAGTTGAGAATGCAAAGCGACCAAGGAACGACCAGTTAACCTTGGTTGAATCTAATGGAACTTTAACTGGGGCTCTAAAGATATCGGCAGGCCTGAAAACCCAGGTCAGCCGGACGCAATGAAACTTTTAAGCTGGAACATCCGGGGTTAGGGATACCCCGAACAGTTCGTCGTCTCAGGCACATGATGATCAGAGAAATAAACCCAACTGTAGGCCTCTTCAGAGGCGGGGCTATAGGGAGCACAAGTTGAGCGACGGAACAGGGCCTCGGAATAGCAAGGGCCCCAAAAAAATTAGATTTATTACAATAAAAATCTCATCTTTTTTGGGTCTAACTCCACTTTACGAGAAATGAGCTCATCTTCATGATCTCTCTATCCCACACCGTTAGGATTTGAGTTAGTAATATCACCAATCTTCATATATATACTGCATTTAAGCTTTGCAATTTTTACTAAGGAAATTTGTAAGGGCCCCGGAATAGCAAGGGCCTCCTTTTAAGAATTTGCACAGGACCTCTAACGTCCTAGCCCCGGCCCTGGGCTTCTTTATGGAGACAAAGCTACAAAAATCTAGAATGGAGAACATTTGCAAGTCATGTGGTTTCTTGGATGGCATTGAGGTATATGCAACTGGTACCCGTGGAGGCCTATGCCTAGATTGGCGAGCAGGTTATACTGTTTCACTACGATCAGTATCGAACTACCATATAGATGTGTTAATCTCAAACACAGATAAAGGAACTACGTGGAGATGCATTGGATTTCATGGATCCCCGGAAGAAAATTGTAGATCGGAATCTTGGAATCTCTTACGAAGTCTTAACAATTCTCTGAATTTACCTGGGTTGGTCATCGGTGACTTTTATGAAATAATGTTCTTTGAAAAAGAAGGTGGTCTCCTCCGAGGGGAAATACAGATGAATGTTTCTTGAGAAACCGTTGAAGAATGTAGATTAGTATATATCAGATATTCAGGGTCTTGGTTTACTTGGGAGCGCGGAAACAAGCAAAAATAACATACGAGAATGTCTCGATCGTGGAATTGCTAACACCTTATGGAAAATGTCATTTCCAAACTACTTATTAAGACACATTATGCACAATTTCTCCGATCATTGTCCGTTACTCCGAGATAAAATGGGTCCAAATAATAGAATACGACAATGGCACTTTAAATTTGAAGCAGCTTGGTTACTAGAAGACTCGTGTGAGGAAGAGGCGAAAAGAATTTGGAGCACTACCGAAAGGTTGGTACTTAACAAGTTAAACAGTGTCAGCAGAGACTTAGATCAATGGTTCAAGACTATTTGCCAGCAAAAAAGATTAACAGCTACAGAATTAGAACGCCGACTAGCAGAGCAAATGGAACAAACTCCAACGGATGACGTACTTGGCAAAATTGTCGAGACAAAGCTTCAATTAAATTTGGAAGCGGACAAACAGGAACTATACTGGGAACAACTTTGATGCTGACGATGGGAGACAAATAGATGATGAGTGGGGAATGGAAAATCTTGCACGACACTATTTCGAGACTTTATTTGCGTCAACAACAACTGAGCTAAACAATGAAGTACTGGAGGGGGTCAACAAATGCATCTCGCGAAAGGATAACGCAAATCTAGTCGGACCATTCTCAGTAGAGGAAGTCTGGAAGGCAGTTAAGTCCATTAGCCCATTAAAAGCATCAGGGGAAGATGGATTAGGTGCGATATTCTATCAGCGGTTCTGGCACATAATTGGCCCTGAAGTAGCAGAGTATTGTATAGGGTCACTCACCAGAAAGTATGACCTGAGAGAAATTAACCATATTCACATAGTGCTCATCCCAAAAGTAACTGAACCGAAGAAATTGAACCAGTTCCGTCCTATTAGTTTATGTAATGTCCTCTTTATAATCGTATCAAAGATGTCAGTACACCGTATGCAAAATCACCTAAATTGTTGTATTGACGAGGCACAAAGCGCTTTTATACTCGGGAGATTAATATCAGATAATATAATCGTTGCGTATGAACTTCTCAACTCTTTCCAAAAGAGGCAAGTGGGTAGAAAGGTTTATTTTGCGCTAAAACTCGACATGAGCAAAGCATAGAGTTGAAAGGCAATTCCTTTGGGCTATACTGGAAAAGATAGGATTTTTGACAGTTTGGATTGATTTTGTAAAACGGTGTGTTAGTTCAGTCGCTTATTTGGTGATAATTAATGGAGTAGCTGGTGAGAAGTTTGCCCCTCAAAGGGGTCTACGCCAAGGTGATCCGCTCAGTCCCTATCTATTCCTCATATGCAGCGAATGACTATCAGCATTATTCCGCCGAGCTAGTACCTTGAATTCTATACAATGAGTCCGAATAAATCGGTATGCACCTTCGATATCATATTTACATTTTGCAGATGATTACGTTATTTTTGGTGAGGCATCTCCTCAAGTGGCAATGCAAATTAAAACCATTCTACGCCTATATGGAGAAAGTTTGGGGCAATAAAAAAACTTTGATAAATCAAGTGTCTTTTTCAGTACAAACGACATTGACAGTAACAGAGATGCTGTTCGACGGTTCTAGAGGTTGAAAACACGAGTTGTCCGGAAAATATCTTGGGCTGCCAACTATAGTGGGGTGAAATAAATCTAGAGCTTTTGCAAGTTTACTTGAAAAATACAACAGTCGGATCATCAACTGGTGCGTTCGAGTGCTCTCATAATGGGGAAAGGAAGTATTCATAAAATCTATCCTTCAGGCTATTACTCTTTATGCTATGAACGTGTTTTTGTTCCCAAAAAATTTATGCTCGAAGTTTGAAAGTTCAATGGTAAAATTTTGGTGGCAAAAATCTGTGAACAAACGTGGTATTCACTGGTGTTCGTGGGAGGCATTAAACTAGTTGAAGGAAGATGGGGGACCTGGATTTAGAGATATGGCAAAATTCAACACTGCTTTATTGGTTAAACAGGGTTGGCGCTTACTACAGAACCCAACGTCTTTAGTTGGACGAATTTTACGTGCTAAGCATTTCCCAAACAAAGACTTTATGGACTCGAGTTTGGGTGTTGCACCATCCTACATCTGGAGGAGTATATGGAGCGCACGAAGGCTGCTAGAGATGGGGTTTTGCTGGAAGGTAGGAACATGGACCTCTATCTCCATTTGGAACGACTTTTGGTTACCTAGTTCTCATAATTGCGTTGTTTCTAATCAAGTTGACACAGTGGAGAAGGTGGCAGATTTGATAGATAGCGAATCAAAGACCTGGAAAGCTGAGCTAGTAAAAAATATTTTCGTCGAAGAAGAGGCAAACAGGATTCTGGTTATTCCAATCCCAAAATTTGACCAACAAGACTGTAAGGTTTGGAGTGGAGAACGATCAGGGATATACAGCGTACACAGTGAATACAGGTTACTATTAAATCAAAATCAAATCCAAAATTCAACCAAAGCCCTGTTTAATTACATTTTCGCTAGTGCTTGTCAAAGGAAAATCAAGTTACAAGTTTGGAGAACAGCAACAATTTTATCCCAACAATAGAGAACCTGCACTATAGACGCATAACTTAAGACCCCAGCTGCCCGAAATGTACTCATGTGCCGGAGTCCGGCCTACACATTATACGGGACTGCCACCTAGCTCGTCTGCTATGGCCTATGCTACATTACTAGTGGCCAATTCAACTAAATGCAGAAAACGTACTCGACTGGCTAAACTGGTTATTCAAGAACCATACATCCACAAAACATGCAGAAATACTTTGTATAATTTGGGCATTATGGTATGCTTGAAATAAAGCACTTCATGAAGGAAAATTTGTTTGAGTTGAAGAATTAGTTACCCTGATCATATCACAGTGTCGAGACTTCCTCCTAGCAAACTCAGAATCGCATAGTCCTCCCAAGGCCCCATCCATAAACTGGGAACCCCTTCAGATCTGGCTTCTAAAATAAACTTTGACATTCGCTTCTTGCAAAACCATAAATATTCTTGGTCAGGGGTGGTGATTCGTAACTCAGAAGGTAATATACTAGGTGCATGCAGGAGAAAAGCGGAAAGGATTACCTCAGTATTTATGGCGGAGATGAGGGCAGCATTACATGCAATCATCTTTGCAGCAGATATGGGTTTCCAATAAATTATAGTTGAAGGAGATTCAAGATCTGTAATTGAAAAGCTTCTCTCCCTTAAACCAAATATATCGAAGATCAGTGCTCTGACTTGGGAAATTAGGAAAAAGTCAGAATCTTTTTCAGTGTGTTCATTCAAATTTACCCGGAGAGCAGGTAATAAAGCAGTCCGCTTATTTGCAGCAGCGACGGAATTTGATTCAGCGGATCGGTTTTGGGTGGAAGAAGTGCCAACAACTGCTGAAGATCAGGTAGAGGAGGACAAGTGAAACCTCGATCCACCATATAGGTTGCGACTATAGACTGTACATAGAGTATCGATATGGGAGAGGTGGTGTTAGCTTCTCTGCGATGGGCGTTTTATCATTTAATTTTGAGAGTACATAAAAGGTTGGAGCCAGCCGTATTTCATTTCTTAGGTTGCAAATGCATTTCTTTAGAGAAAATAATCTTAGTGATAAAAAATACTTTATAATATATAATTTTAATCAATTTTTTTTTATTTATCAAAATGTCTAATTAAATCGTAATGCGATCGATAATTCGCAACGCGATCTCCGGTATCGCAAATCAGTTTTCAGATTCGCAACGCGAATTTTGACTATCGCATTACGATTTACATATTCGCATTGCGATAGTCTAAGTTCGAGTTGCGATTTTCCAAATCAATTTCCAGATTCGTAACGCGAACTTCGACTATCGTATTGCGATTTACATATTCGCATTGCGATAGTCGAAGTTCGCGTTGCGATAGTCAAAGTTCGCGTTGCGATTTTCCAAATTCGTTGTGATAGTCCAAGTTCGCGTTGCGATTTATTCTAAATTTGTTGCGATAGTCCAAGTTCGCGTTGCGATTTATTACAAATTCGTTGTGATAGTCCAAATTTGTTGCTATAGTCGAAGTTCGCTTTGCGATTTATTCCAAATTCGTTGCGATAGTCCAAAATCGCATCGACTGGTGATATTGCATTTGTTTCTTAAGAATTTTCTCTAAAAAGATAGTATTCGCGCGGACGTGTCGAAGACACGTATTACCACGACCACGGCGGCGGCGCGCGCGAGAGTCTCCCTTGTTCTCTATCACTCAACAAGGAAGTGGGAAAGCCAAGCCTTAAATATCATTCTCAATAGTGTTTCCAATACTATGTGGGATTGAGCATTACCAACACTTGTTTCAAATACTATGTGATTATTCAGGAAACAATTAACAATCATGCACCTTAAAACAACTGAATCAGCAACCAATTGCATTAGTATTATACGATTAAATATGTCATAATTAAAAGTCAAGCTAACTGCCGATGATTCTATTCATTACCAAAAAATCGTGTTACTTACATGTGGTTATCTAATACCATCCCCGCTAAACTCTTCCCAATATCATATAATTTTTTTCACAACTGCATATTAGTTTATTTAGTTGTTTAAGTATTTATTGATAATTTTTTTATTTATATGTAATTGGAGCTCCTGTTTTGGTCAATGTTACATGCTTATAGATTCATCCTATACAAAGACACAATATTCGACTTCTCTCATTAGAAATAATTTTGGAAGTGATTTTATGCATTCACCACCAATGATGGTAGAATCTGATGATTTAGGCAATTTGAAATCATTGTTTACATACGAAGAATTAATCGAGGCTATGAATATTTATTTAACCATAATCTTTTGGGTGAATGTGAATTTGAGGTTGTTTACAAGATGAAGAGGGGTGGTTGTAAAGCAGCTAAAAATCGGTGGGGACTAGGTGAATGATAATTTAAACCTGAGGTTGAAGAATATGATCTTTCGGCGATGAATAAGATTGTAAACGGTTGATTTTGAAGATTGTTGCTGGGATAAATATCCAAATTTATATAATTAAGTGTTCCAATCATAAAAAAATAAAATTCTTGAAATAATTATAATTTTTAATAAAAAAAATATAATTTAATTATATTCATATTAACATTTAAACTAAATAATAATAAAAGATTAATTATGGATAGATCATTATAGTCGTTTATATTTATGTAATAAGAATAATTTAGTTAGTGATGTGTATCGATGTGTTAAGTTAATAAAGTGTTTCGGTGCACGACGTAGATTCTAGAATTTTCCCAGTCCATCATGACTAGTGTTATTGGTTTAATGCAGAGAATGAGGAGATTGAGAAATAGGTTGAAGAACCAAGGTTACATTTTAAGGGGATCATGCGGCTGTTTCCGTGTACTTATCATCCAATAGGATGCGTTTAATTTACGAGATGCTTTCGGTTGCGGTAGACGGTAATTATTCTATATGTTCAGAAAATTATGAGCGAAAAATTAATTAAAACGATATAAATATAAAAAAATTATAAGAAATTATATCTAATATGATTCAATTTTCTTTACTTCTATAAACGAGAAGAATAGTAATTTATATAAATATATAAATCACTAAAACTACAAATATATAATATATCATGTATCCTAATCTTAATATATATCTTTAACTCTTAACAAAGCTCTTTTCTCATTCGAATTGAACTCTTAACAAGATTGGGTTTATGGATAAGATATGTAAACATTTCGAAAGTTGGCAAGTAAAAATATGAAATTAAAAGGATTAAATTCAATAAAAATACATATCACAGGGACATATTACGATATTTGACCAAAAACATTAACAAAAAGGGAAGTAAATACAGTAGTAATGATATGTTGATCCCGATAAGATAGGGGTGGAATTAAATTCACAAGCTACAACTAGCTAAAGTAATCGATATGATCAACAGGCAATCTGAACGTGTGACAAATAAAAGCGTCTCATCGGATTCACGAGTCCGTGTTTCTCGCTTCATTTTCACCAATCAGAAGCCTCCAAGCTCCAAGCTTTCAACCAACAACTCCCTTCGAAAGCTCCTGCAACCGAAACCCAGAAATCACAATAAAGAAATAGAAACATTATCTCAGAATTCATGGCTTTTCCCTCTAAATTCCTTGCCTTTATCTCCTTTCTTGTATTTATTACGATCACCCCATTTTCTCATTCGATCCCCTTCATTGTTATCCATGGTAATTGTTGTCTTCTTCATTTCCCATCATGGTCTTTCTATATCAAAGCTTAAACTTTTTGGGGTTCCCCCCCTCTAATTTTGTTGTTGCAGGGATCGGAGATCAGTGTGCCAAACGTGGAGTCAAACGGTTCACTGAACTTCTCACTAACTTTTCTGGTTCTGAAGGATATTGTTTGTATGCTTCTTAACCTTTCTTTTGCTTCCCTTTCCTTCCTTTTTTACTGCATATCGACTTGATTTTCCTTTTCAATCATGCAGAGAAATTGGAGATGGGACATGGGATTCTTGGTTTATGCCTCTGGAAGAACAGGTAAAACTTCTTACAAGATGAAAAAAATTCCATTATTATTGTCTGATTTCCTTTTTTAATCAATTTCTGTTGCTTATTTGCAGACAAATGTGGTTTGTGAGAAGGTGATGTATTGTTCTGGGTAATTTGTTGGTTTTCTTTGTTGGTCTGGGTTTTGGAGTTTATCTTCCCTTTTGACAAAACTCCAGTATGTTATCAAAACATGTTAAACAAATGAAAGAACTGAGTAATGGTTACAACATAGTTGGTCTCTCCCAGGTGATTTTTTCCAATTCAATTCACTAATTGATGCACAAATACTTCATTTGTTCATTGATAGTTCCATTTAGTAGTATTGCTTTTGCTAGGATTTACATATTATTGTTTCCTCTTTCCTTAATCCACACTTTTATTTACAATCTGCAAGGATCTTTTTGTATAGTATATCATCACATTGAGTATGGGAATTGCTAATAGAAACCTAGAGATGGTCTTCGGAAACCTCCTAGCTTCTGGCAAATTGGACTCGCTGAAATCACCAGCACTCCGTTAACCGAAGTCTCCAAACATAACCTTCCGTCTATCAGAGCCTCCAACAACCCTACATCTTCCGGATACAATTTCCTAATCAACTACAGTATGTAAATAGGACTTTTATCAGGTCCACGTGATTTATAAAAACATAATCAAATGTCAGATTTATCTAGTCCGTTAGTCTACAAATAGTCATAATGGTCCTATGTCTCGCACACACATATTAAATGTCACTATAAATACCCCTTAATACAACCAAGAGGGGTTGGAACCTTTCACAACCTACACCCCACCTTCATCTTCTCCATTACGACTAACTCCCTCTTCTACGAGAACATCGGCCAATGGTTGTTCTTTCATCGACCGCAGCTCTCTGTCCAAATTAGATGAAGTGAACAATACACAATTAACAAGAAAATTTTGTTCCCATCAACACATGTCAGTGCTTATACCTCACCCATCCGGTTGATTTCATCGGTTCAACTTATCTTCAATACTTCATACGAATTCAGAGAATTTAGCAAATAAACAAAAGAAAATGCATCTAAAAGGTGCCTTGGTTGTTTTGGTTGTTTTTATATGCTAAGAGGCAACTTCCATTCATGGACTCATTCTCAAAAATTTACTTGGTTTAACAGGGTAACTTGATAGCCTGGGGCGTTATCGAGTTTTGTGATGGTGCACCACAGGTAAGAGCCGGCTGACCTAAAGCTTCTTTTTATCGGAAAGATTAACTTCTTGATCATATATTTACTGAATCTTTTCACCAACATTATTTACCTGTTTTGTGCTCTCTTCATTTACAACCTTTTTTTCCCATTATCATAATGATTTCAATAGTTATCCACATTTGGGTGATTGTCACTCTTCCCTTTTTATGTGTGTTAAATGATGGGATTTTACTATATGTTGAATGTTTTAGGAATTGTTTTTTTCATATGAACTGAATGTTCCAAAATGATTTTCTTCTTCTGCATGACGAAACATGTGAAGAATTTTATCTCTTTAGCAGGGCCTCATGCTGGTACTGCTTCTGTTCCTCTTTGTTGATAAGATGTCATGGTAGATAACCGTTCTAGTCGAACCAAATCTCCTTTAATCCTATCTGGAGCTGTATTGCTTGTTGTTGAAGTAATTATTTTCGTATTGCAGTCTGGTTTTCTGTGCCTGATTGCGGACAAGCTAATCAAGTCGGAGATATACAGCGACTATATCCAGGTACACATCTTCTCTCCGAGGCTTTTTAACCTGTACACTCATCTTTCTTCATGATTTTGATGAACAATGCAGCTTTTCAATATAATTTGAATACATTGTTAGTTTTATCAATTTCATGTATGTGATTTGCCATTTTGCAGGCTCATTTGGCACCAAGTGGTTATCTAAAATTGCCGAACGTGAGTAGCATACAGCGATTTATCGGCTTGTTTTGCATGATCTCTTGTTATTAACCGGTTGAAGTGTTTTACAAATTGTTTCAAGTGATTAAAACTTGTATAAGTTTCAAAATAACATCTTAATTTCCAGGATATACTTCATTATTTGGAAAAATGTCAATTTCTTCCGAAGCTTAACAACGAACTTCCGGACGAAAGAAATTCTACTTATAAGGAAAGGTTCACTCGCTTGCAAAACTTGGTACTTATCATGGTAAGCTGGAAAATATGCATTTAAGCTTTTCAAACCCGTATTGGACCATTGGCTTCTTCGGTTCATTTATCTTCTAATCCGGCTCATCTTCAACTCAAACAGTTTGAGCATGACACTGTTTTGATACCGAAGGAAACCTCTTGGTTCGGATTTTACCCAGATGGAGCCTTCAAGCCGGTCATTCGGCCTCAAGATGCACGGTATTTTTCCATGCAGAAATTGAATTATGTGTTGTTGATGTATGAACTTGAATTACGACCTGATATGTATCTAGGCTAGCAACAGATTGTGGCCAGATCAATGTTTTCAATCTGTTCATGCAGTTTTTAGTCAATAATACTGACCGTTACCGATGCAGACAACGCTTTACACCGAGGACTGGATCTGTTTAAAAACCTTAGACGACTCCGGAAAGGTCCACTACATTAATGTCTCGGGAGGTCATCTCGGAATCTCCAACGACGATATGAAAAAACATGTTGTACCTTTCTTGAAGGATCAAGATTCAATGGCAGATAGCGTTCGGAGTAGTTATGTCGAAGTTCATGGACCTCATCGTAAGGTCATGGTGAACCATAAGAGAAAGCAAGCAGTGCCTTTGTTGCAGGAAAAAGCTCCATCTGAACTCATACTCGATGGATCACCATCGTACCGGTGGCCCCCGTCGGTCCAAAGCTTCATCATGGAATTACTTGGATTTACTGAAGATTAAGCCATATCCTTATCTTTGATTTACAGAGTATTATTTGAATCAATTCAGTATGGTTATTAAATGATCATCTCCACGTTGGTTTGAAATTAAACTTAATAGCCTTTCCAGCTTACCCCTTGTAAGGATAAACCCGAATACTTTAGCATATCATTCGATGAAATTTGTGTTAATATATAACCCGTGTGGTGTCTGCTATATACAACTGTCTTTGTTATGAATACATACCTTCTCGAACAGCCTGTCCGCGACCACCGTAATACGGATTCATATTTGCAGAGTCAAAACGAAGAGATATGAATGTTGAGCATCTTTCTTGCACTTTACAAACAAAATTACTTTTTATTTTGGCCTTGCGTAAATGATCAAAACGTTTAATGAATTATTTATAGATCATTCACATTTGTTTATGTTTGTTTAGTAAACTACATGAGTATAAACTAAAATTTTATGTTCATTTAATAAATGAACACGAATATATTTATGTTCGATTCATTTATATTCATGAACAAACCCATTTAAAAACTCATTTATTTAGTCGTTTATTCGATTCTCCTATTCCTCTTATCTTTTTACATATTAATTGTTGGGGAAGTAGGTACTAAATTGAATATAGTATTAATTTTAGAGTTCTAATTGTGAAGTTTAAGGAATTTAAAGATTAACAACGTAATTTCATCATTTTTTCACTTAAAAATAAAAATATTGATTGTTGAACATAAAAACCAACAAATTAACATAAATATAACCTTTTTCATTTAAATTCGGTTCATTTACTATCTTAATTTGATAAAGATTATTTGTACAAAGTGAAAAATTAACTTTTTTAAGTCAAATATATATGATGGTATATTTTGTATGATAAGATCAAACTCAATACTAAATATTTTTTAGTTTTAATTATAAAAATGTGGAATGCTTTGAAAAATCCTATAATAAAGGTGTAATTTTCGTCCTCACAATAATCCCAAAACTATATACTATGTACGGTAAAGATACAAAAGAAGGAAGATGTAATTAGCATCGCTGATTAACACCAAAAAAAATTAAATTAAACTAATTAAATATGTCAAAAGGTTGGTTGGGCCGACAATACAAAACATGAAAGACCCACCAAAATCCACATTCTAACCACCATATCATTTAGCAATCCACGCATTAGTCTTTTCACGTTGCCCTTGCATGTAGGATATTATCACGATCGAGGACGAAGAGCATCGAACGGTTGATGAGCGGCAACTGCAACAGCCCGAGCCCAAGGGTTTACGGGTATGGGCCTGTAATGGGACCGTGGATCGACGGCGGTGGATGGCGGGTTGGGTGGGACCGCCACCCTCTTACATGATGTGCACATGGTGAGGGTGGTTGGTGGGGTCATTTGCATGTGGAACTGCGTGGAGGAAAGTTTCAGAGCTCTCAGCTCCTGAACTTCCTTCTGCAACCGCCGGTTCTCCTCCGTCAGATTTTCACAGCATCTCTTAAGGAACTCGCAATCAACCTCCGTTTGCTTTAGCTTCGTCCTGCATAAAAATAATCCCCAAATCCTATAATTAGTAAATACAATCCAACCCAAAGGAAATAAATGTCATTTCATTTACCAACTTCAAAACCCGCCGATATTTACGTAATTGCCCAAAAACTAGTGGAAAATTTCTCACCTTGCCCTTCTGTTTTGAAACCACACCTCGACTTGTCTGGGTCGTAATCCAAGCTGCTTAGCCAATGCTAATTTCTGCTTCTGCAGATATAAGCCATTGGTTCATCAGTATAAAAATGGTCAAATGGTTCAAGTTTGGTTACTGAGAAAATACTTATATTCTTGGCAACTAAACAGTGATTTAATATGAAGGTTTCTCTTTGAACTACCACTTACGGGGTTGAGAGTGCTGTGTTCTTTAAAGCTTTCCTCGAGAGTAGCAGATTGATCTTTAGAAAGTCTAAGCTTTTTTCTCGAAGTGTCGCCGTCTTCTTCGTCGCTGATGCCACGAGAATAGGCTTTTCCAATCTCGAGATTATCCTCGTTCCCTTCTCTCTCGCTCCTTTTTCCACTCACGCTTGATATCGTGCTGTTTGGAGATGAAACTCCAGCTTCGTCTTCACAATCGACTGTCGATGGCAATATGTTCATGTCGATTCCTCTGAAAAATGATCCAGTCTCGGCCCGGAAAGATTCCGAGTTATGATCTGCATGTAAAAAAAACATTTCATATAAAAAAGGTCGGAATTTTCATCTGAATATGAGAGGGGGGAGTGATCTTTCATGGAAGAAATCAAGAGAAAAGTAGAGGCTTTTGCATGTAAAATGAGAACAGTGGAAAAGAATACTATTGTCAAAAAAGATACGTCAAACATGAAAAAAGCAAAAATATATATATTATTATTATTCTCTTTGTTTGGATTGGGTTGAATTCATAAGGGGAAAACGATACAGCATCGTTTGGCTTTCGGGAAAAAAGGGGAAAAAACGAGATCTAAAGGTGAGATATCATCCCATGCAAAGAATAAAAGTGACAGAGGAAAGAATAAAACAAACCTGAACGAGATGAAGAATCATTCCATGCGGATTTGCTTAGGGTTAAACCAGAAGGAGAAGTACAAGAATTAGCAGAGGAAGGAACAAGAGAAGTCTTTAGATTTAGCTGTAAAGAGTTGTTATTCTGGGGAAAAGTCAAGCTAAGACTCAAACCCAGATCTTCCTTTCCCACCATCTTTAGGTTTTTTCTCTTCTGCCAAACACAACTTGTATAGTAAGTCCTAGCTGAAAAGTAATGGGTATGTAAGAGAAGAATAGAAGATTATATAGAACTGATAATATTAAAATATACAAAATTATATATTACAAAAATTATACATCAAATAATTTTACTTTCGAAAAAGAAATGCGATCAGAGATACTCTAATTATTTGTCTTTCCGAATCCCAACCACAAGACCTAGTGGGCCATTACTCCACCTGAACACCTCACTCTCCGTGCCCTTCCTGCCTCTCAACCAACGGCCTTGATCCCATTTTAAATCGCTATCAATGGTCCCGATCGAAAACCATTTGTGGGGGCCATGTTACCTTGTGCTGTACTGTATATAATTGGGAACAAATGCCAGTGATGCTCTAGACGAGCATCAAATCATGAGTAGACGATGATGATTGGAACCAGACGCTACATCTTCCTTTCTTTCTTTCTTTTAAGGTTAAACAAGGACCTCTGTATTTTTTTAGGATAAATATCTTCAAATTAGCATGAAATCATTTAAAGATTGTTACTGAATTTTCATTAAAAAAAACCAATCTGATTTGCTCCGATTTTTCAGGGGTTGTTTATTTCTCATGTGTATAATATGATGCAAGAGAGAAAGCATTGTTGAATTAGTGAATGGTCATAATTTCTTATTGACCTTTGATTTTAAGACAAATTAACCTGTTTTTTAGGGATGAGATCAATTGTTGTCTATGAATCAATGACAACTGACCAGTCTTGTTTTCCAACAATGAGTTGAGAACGCACTCACCTTTGATGACTTTGGTTTCAATAATAACCGCATCATCTCTTTTAATTTTATACAAGTAATTATGTAAATGTTTCATTAAGAATGTGTTTAGTTCACAAAATATAAGATTACCAGTGGGAATAAAAGATTACCATGGAATAGGATTATTGGGAATGTTGTATTTTGTGTTTGGTTGGTTTAGCATGAATGTAATTAAGATTACCGTGTTTGGTTAAAAGAATAAAATATTATTAGAATGTATATTTGACCAAATTGTCCTTATTATATATTTGTTTTTTTAACAAGTTCGAAAATATTTATATATTTTCTTTAAAAAAATTTAAATTCATAACATTTATATAATTTTTTTTACAAAATTAAAAATATAAAAATGTTTAATGAAAGGGTGAAATTTTATTTTAACCCCTGAACTTTATATAAAATTTTAATTATAGATTTTTTTTTTGTAAATCTAAAATAGTTTAAGGATAAATGTGTAATTTAACCTTCGTATAATTTTTATTATTCAATGACAGAGTAAGGATATTTTTTAAAGAAATTTTTTTAAGGCATTTTAGTCAAAAACGCCGGTAATCCAACAATACCTTAGGGTGTGTTTAGTTGGGGGAATGTGAGATTCCCATAGGAATGATATCCACATTCCCCGTTTGGTTGGCCGGGAATGTCATCCCCGGTAATCTTACATTACCAATAGTAGATTTTTTGGGGTATATTATCGGGAATGTCATTACCTCCCTTTCCTTATGTATTGTTGGATTACCGACGTTTTGGACTAAAATGCCCTTAAATTTTTTTTCCTTTCAAAAATATCCTTATTCTGTCATTGAATAATAAAAATTATATGAAGGTTAAATTACAAAATTATCCTTAAACTATTTTAGATTTACAAAAAAAAATCTATAATTAAAATTTTATATGAAGTTCAGGGGTAAAATAAAATTTTACCCTTTCATTAAACCTTTTTATATTTTCAATTTTGTAAAAAATTTATATAAATTTTATGAATTTAAATTTTTTAAAGATAATATATAAATATTTTCCAACTTGTTAAAAATAAATATATAATAAGGATAATTTGATCAAATATACATTATAATAATCTTTTATTACTGTAACCAAACACGGTAATCTTACATTCCTACTAAACCAACCAAACACAAAATACAACATTCACAATAATCCTATTATCTGGTAATCTTTTATTCCCACTGGTAATCTTATATTCCGTGAATCAAACGCAGAGACATATTAATTGCTCATACTATGCTCAGCTGTAGTCCCCTACTGTAGACTTAAAATGCCACCAAAATCATTCATTTGCCCATATTTATGCTACAAATGAGTTTTTCTTTTCATTTATAGATTCGCCATGCTAATCTTTTACCAAAATAATGAACTGTGTTTGACTTAGTCTTAAATTACTAATTCAACTCAAATTATTAGTGAAAATGAAAACAAGGTGAGGTTTTAAACCAAAATTGAATAAGATTACCTTAAATTAGGAATAATCGTATATTAGTTCATTTGAGTTTTTTATCTATTTGAATTTAATTTTGAAAAATAAAATCCTACATTTATATCCTACTCGACTCAAATTTAGGAGATTTTCATTTAATCCAAAAATTAATATGATATTTTAAGTGAAAATTTATATTCGACTTGACTCACATGTTTATATTTATTTTTATTTTAAAACAAATATCTAATTGAAAAATATAATATAGAGATAATATTTTAATTATAATATTATATCGAATCAGATCCAAAATTTTCATCTTAAACCCAATTAAATCACATATATCCACTTAAAATTATATTATCAATAATAAAAAAATTAATTTAATTGAATCAAAATGAAATTCGTTGAACTCGAATCGTGTGTCAATTATTTGTGATATAAGGAAAACATCCGTGAGCTTCCCGGAACTCGGAATTGTTTTTCTTTTCTGAAGAATAGGAAATCATGGAATTCAAAAGGGAAGAAGAAAAAACCTTAATCAGATGGGATTCAAGTACATCGGACGGTTGAGAAATATGGGACAATTGACATAATAACGTGGGGGTGATGATTGAGGGCGTCCCCTCGAGAGTGCGTGAAATCTGTCCCCGTGTCCCGTTATTTACTTGGGACCCTTCAATGGCCATTTTCTCAATAAATCATCTTTTTTTTTCCACTTTATTGCCCTATCAGATACTCTTTTATTTTTATTTTTCGATCTAACACCTTTTTTTTTTGCAGGAAAACACGTCTTATACATAGTACATTACGCTGATCTGACACCACGTGTTGAAAGTCGTAGCCCATGTACCTTCTGTGCTTTGTGAAACGTGTAAAAAATTGAGTGTTAATTTTATAAATATTTATAAAATAATGCCAAATATGTTATTAATTTTTTTAGGGTGATATTTATGTAAAAACGCTAACTTTATTTATTTTTTGTGTGTGAAAAAAATACTTTCTACATTAAAATCTTTAAATATTCTTTTGCAAATTATTTTATAACTCGTTTTTTTTTAATTTTTGAATGAAATTACACAATATGTATAATCTAATATAGGAAAATTTTAAGTGTAAGTAATTTAAAATATGAATAATTTTATAAAAGTTTTTTAACTAATATATCAAAATACACAAAATGATTAAAATGCATTGATGAAGATAAAAAAGCAAATGTTAAATAATAAGTTATTCAAATCAAATTCCACTAAAATTTGTTAAGTTCAACAGGTTGCACACACCTCATATGTTAATGTTCATTTATCATTTCGCAGAGGTCTGTTGTAGTAATTTATATTTCCTATATACATGCTTTTATTTCCAAGCTTCTTTGCTTCCTCAATTGTAATTAAAAATGAATAAATATTATTAATTGTTGTTAAAAAATAATTATTAATGGATAATAATTCATTTGATCCCTCAATTGTAATTAAAAGTTTGTTTTAATATTTTTTTATATTTTTAAACAATTAATTTTAAAACTCAATAAATTTTAAAAATTATATAAAATTTATAATTTTTTAAATGATAAAATATTTCTTATCATCGTCATCATTTTGTAAAAGAAATACTAATTATAAAACTTTTATAAAATTATTCATACATTAAATTATTAAAAGTATTTACGAAATTAGCACTCAATATTTTACGTCCATAAGACATGGTGCATGGGCTGCGCCTTTGAACTCGTGACCTAAGGCGCGGTACATGGACTACGCCTTTCTGCAAAGAATGTTATATAAAAAAATAAAGATAGAATGATGTCTTACAAAGAAATAAAGAGAGAAAATATGATTTTTGGGAAATTCGCCTTCAATAATACCTTTGGCTCTACTCGACACTATCCGACAGTATCCATCCATTAATTTTTTAATAAATAATTAAATGATTTACAGCACTCTCTTTGGTCGGGGCAAGCCCTCCCCGTACGTGTCTTGTGATACGCACGTGAAACCAGTCCCTCCTTGCGTTGTTCTTAACTCTTCCCTTTTCTTAGAACAATAATCTTCTTATTAATTTTTTATATAATTAAAATAATTTAATTATATTATTCCTTTTTATGATGGTTGAGGATCGAAAATTTATATATTTATTTATTTATAGTAACATTGATAGAATAATTTTTGCTTATTACAGGCCCAAAAGGTACATTATTAAAAATAAATTTTAAATAATATCCAAAAAATATTTGATAAAAGAAAGTTTTAAAAATCCAAGTCATTGTTATTTATGATATTTATGGCTCTCCCACCATAAAATGGTACTTTCATTGTCAAAACACAATCCTTGGGTGTCTCCCCCCCCCATGTGATTTTCACGTGAACAAGCCCCCCCCCCCCTCCCCCCCCACACACACAAAGTCCCATGCTGATATTCCCAATCAAGTGGAGTACACACACTTTATTGCCACTCTCTTGATTGGACATTCGGTTTTATATAATGTCTGGTGGTTGATGAATTCAATAATAAGACAATGAATGAGGCTTCCAACATGCATCCAAACGAAAGAATCGGTCATCAATAGACATTCGAATCTTTGGGTTGTCTGATTTTTTTATTATCAACGTATAAATTTCAAGACTCTATAGTAAAAAAATATTATTATAATCTGAATTTGAATAACCACGTCTTTATAATATATGTACGTTATCAATATATTAAATTTTTTTTGAATAATTACTATATTATAACTGTACCAAAATATTAAAAAAATCTTTTTTTAAAAGGGTACCTTGTATTAAT